TTTTTTTTTTAATTTCTCATAAATAATTAGAAGAACATGGATAATATAAAGATTATGTGATAAAGGATCCTACTCTACATATATATATGCAATCGCATGATCTCTCACTTAGTAGAGGAATCAACTTCTGTGCCTTCTGATTTATGGATCTTGACATCTTCAACATGATGATTGGAAATTTTGTTGAGCATTCAATTAATGGTGTCCTTAGTGAGGCAGAAGAATTACTCAATGTTATCTTGTGATACAACACTTGGTAAGAATAAATAATTTATTACATGTGGTTAGAAGATCGAATGATAAGCACAAAGCATACATGAGCAAGATGTTGACCTTGAACGCTTTAGAGGTTGAGAGTGAAGACATTCTATTGCTATTATTGGTAATATAGAGCTTTATCAAATAAAGATTTTGAGGTGACTCTCTTAATTTGATAATATTTCTTAGTTTGGACCGTTGGATCCATATGGTAAAAATAAGTTTAGGAATCTAATGTCTTATTGTGAATGTTGTAAAAGTGTATGAATTCCTAAAACCCTTAATGGGCTTGCTTATACTACTGTTAAATGAGCCTCCAAAAATTCTTTTTGTGATGTTTTGTTGGACAATGTTGTAGAAGCTTTCAAATAATGAATCCCTCACTTTCCAAGGTAAAAAAAAAAAAAAAAAAAAAATTTTTATGCATAATTTAATTAATTTTGCTCATATTTTCAGTTTCACAATAATTAACTTGTATTTTTAATTGTCAAGAAAAAATAACAAAAACATCAAATTTGAATTGAACATAAATTTAACTTAAAAGTAAAATGTTATTTTTACTCATATTTTATTCTATCTTAATATGTTCTTATTTATATTTCTTAAAATTAAAATTTGAACTACATCTCAATTTTAATACGTAAAATACTATTAAATAATTAGCAAAGGTATTTTAAATATTTTGAAAAATTTTAAATGTATAGGAATTTGTACATAATTAAAAAAAAATTAAATATTTAAACAGAAAAGTATAAATGCTATTAGGACCATTAATTATTTAAGCAATTAAAAGAATAAGTGAAATAATTAACTTAAATTAGATATTGTAAGATAATTTTAATCGATAGAATATATATATGTATATTTGAAAATATTTAAATAATTATAATATTTCTTTTTTTTTTATAAAAATTATAATACAAATTTTAAATTATTTTAGCATACTCGAAAGAGTCATTTTTAATAAACAAACAAAACCCGCTAATTAAAAGTTGTCAACGACTGGTCATTTTGGGTGCATATTGTCTGCAAAACTGCGTCTGGCAAATTGCGGAGTGGCGTAGAGGAGAAATGGCGGAATCTCACAAGCAAGAAGAATACTTCGATGTTCTGACGGAAACTGGCGAAAAAACTGGCATCTCCAAACCAAGGCAAGTCTTCATTTTCCATGTAATCATACACAACGCATATATACTCATTTTCCAAGTTTTATTTCCCTCTTTCATTTTCCCCTTCTTTTTCCATCTTCAACGTTCTCTTGGCCTGTTAAATAATCGGACGAACAATCGGCATCGGAATCTGCTGAACGACGTAGTTTTTGTCGAAGTATGCGGTGCGATTCCCGACTAGCGGAACTTTTGTATGATTTTATTAATTTTATCAATCAATTTGGTGAGATTTTACGTTTGCTACTATGTCGTTCTCATCGTTTCGCTTCTTGATTTGCTTAAAATTTTTTCTATTTTGTATTTCAAAAAAAGTTGTAGTGGAACAACGGATTTATTTATTTTTTCTTCATTTTAATTTGAAGTTTTTGCTCTAGATTTAATGTTTCATTTCCTTAGCGTCCGTTTGCAGCAGCCAAATTGAGGTTATGTTTTGTTGCGGGATTTAGGCCTTTTCTGGTGCGCGAAAATTTTTCTTTGCTTTTTATTTTCTAAAACCATAAGCACGTGTTATTTATGAATGAGAGGAAGTAAAATGTATATTTGTGGAATAATCAAGTTAAATACAAAAATAAGTATCAAGAAAAACGGAAAACAATAGCTCAAAAATACTCAGTTGTCATTTTGAGGATTATTTTGTTAATTGCTGACTAAAGTAAATCAAATATATATATAAATTCTGAAAATAAAAATTTGAAAAATATTTTCGTATGCAAAATGGTGCCTTAATTATTGTAAGCAAGTTCTAAAGCAGACTTTATATTTTTCTGTTCTTTACGTTTTTGTTTAAAATATCTTCTTGTGATGCAAGTGCCTAACTTTATGATGTATCCATGAATTCCATATCATGATCGTCATGAATTGATGAGCGTTAATCGGTATGATGATCCTGAGTTGATAAATTTGGTTTTCTTGTTTGGCTTTCTGGGTTAAACACTTTATGTTAATTCTTTGAATGGTTAGATATTTATCTGGTTTGCTTTTCTTTAAATTTCACAGCGTAATTCCTTTTCTTAACTCGTCAACAAATTGAAAATTTGGCTTGTGTTCTCTGTTAGTATCATGCAAATTTCACATGTCAAAAGAAGAAATGTCGATACAAATATTTTTGCTGCTTCTTTAGGGGAGATGTCCATCGTGATGGTGATTACCACCGAGCTGTTCATGTTTGGATTTTTGCTGAGAGTACACAAGAACTGCTTCTTCAACGACGAGCTGATTGTAAGGACTCATGGCCAGGGTTGTGGGATATCTCAAGTGCAGGTCACATTTCAGCTGGTGATTCATCATTGATCTCTGCCCAGTAAGTAATTCTAACTGAGATTTTAAGTGGTACTTTTTTTTTTCTTTTTTAAAATTTGTGGATTAATTTCTATACCCTCGAGAAGTTTTTGGAGTTAGTTTACAGTTTGTATTCATTTTATTCTGTGGTGTTTTTATGTATAATTCCCCTTTGTTACGATTGCATCCCCAAGTTTTACTGTTTTAATATCATTGATCCCCTTTGGCTGACTTTGAACATGAGGTGTTTGAGAGGTGGAAAGAGTGTCCTATTTTTCAAGTGTGGACTATTTGATTTGAGTTCTTAACTTTGAGTAGAAGGGTCTGTTGAAGAATGTATCATTTGTAATTAAGAGAGAATTTGTTAAAGGGTATTTGAGTAAAATATGCGCTATGCAATTAGTTGTTTGTTTCATTTTCTATTGTAGAAAACTTATATAACATACAGTTTTAATATTTAATAAAATACACACTCAATTATTCTTAATATGATATTTGAGTTTTAGATTTAAAAAAAAATCCCTCACCACCAAACACTATATCCTCATAGTCTTAGTTTCCCCAAAACCCATAAGGTGAATCGTATACCAAAATCCAAATGATGAGCCTAGCACCATAAAATGTTAAGGGGTATAGGACTCACAATTCACTCAGGTGTACTCAAGGAGAAAAATTTAAATCCTAGATAAAAGTAAGTTCAAGTGTCTGAGCCAAGTGCTAAAAAGATAAGGATTTCTTCATTCTTGATATACCACTACCATCTTCACCACCAAACATTTTACTCTCACCACCAAACACTAAAATCTCTTAGTCTTAATTGCCCTAAAAACTAGAAAGTGAATCCTAGATACACTAAAATTCAGATAATAAGCCTAACATAGTAACCAGATAGGACCACGATTCACTCAGGTGTGCTTAAGGATGAAAAATTCAGATCTTGAACCAAAGTAAGTCCAAGAGTTAGTGTAACGCCCAATAATTTTTAAATTTTTTATTTTATTTTATTTTATTATTATTATTAATTTTATTTTTATTTATTTTATTTTATTTAGTTTATTTTAATTTAATTTAATAAAAATAAAAATAACAATAATTGTAAAATTGGGTAAAAATATTATTTGGATTTAATTGAAATTGATTTTGGGAAAAAGAGGTGAAAATTAGGATTCTGGGGGTATTTTTGAAAAGAAAATCGGAAACCGGGGGTCAAAACGCAATTTAGAAAAATTGTGCCCCGTCAGCGCCACGTCAGCGGCCCAGTCAGCAGCCCTGGCCAACCAGGACCTGCCGCGTGGCAAGACCACGTTGACCCGGGAACAGACCACGTCGGCCCAGATGCGTCCCCGCGCGCACGAACGGCCCAGATTAAGCGTGCGCACGGACGGCCCAGATTCAATCACGCACGGACGGCCCAGATTTAATCAAAATGGACAGCTGTGATCAAAAGGCAAAAGGGTATAAATAGAACCCCCCACACCTGACCACAAAAACCCTAGCCGCCTGCCCTCGCCGGAGAAGACGAACCAGACGCCGGAGGAGCCGGCCGCCGCCACTCGCCGCCGCACCGGGGAGTTTTTCAACCGCCGATCGAGGTAAATTTCATACCCCCGGCTCGTTTTTCAATGCTGAGTTTCCCTGTGGCCAAATCGGAGCCAAAATTCTGGCCAAACGGCCGAAACCCAGCGGCGCCGCCGCGCCCCTCCTCGGTTTTTTACTCCGATGAGGCCCTTCCAGGCCTCTGTTTGATACAATTTTTATATCACCGTGATCACCATTCTTTTCTCTACAGGTTGATCGGAGCCAAATCACCAAAACACGAACCTCGCTGGAGAGCCGCCGCACCCGAGAGCACCGCCGCCGGTAAGCTTCCGTTTTTCGTAATTTTTTGGCCCCCCGAGGACCCTAGGGTTGTTTTATCGCAGGGACCGATGCAAGTGTGGCTGAATTCGGCCGAAAACGGCCAACCCGAGGTGAATCGCCGCCGCTTGGCCGGAGCACGGCGGAGCCGCCCTGCCGGAATTGCGATACTGGCCGAAAGGGGGCCTGGGTCTAATTTGGGATTTTTGGGACACGTGCAGGTACCAGTAGTGCGTTTCAGTTCCCCGGGAAAAATTTAGGGAAAATTTGGGACAGCCTATAGGCGCACTTTAGAGCCGTATTCGGACCCCGAAACAGGTAAGGATTTCTCACCCTATTTCCTATCACGGTATTAAAGTGCAATAAATGATAAAATGGTATTTCATGAATCAATAGCTGTGTGAAATTGTTTAAGGTTGCTAATGGAGCCCGAGTCTAGTGTATTTGTCGGTCAGTTGTTGTTTGTTCTATTTTACAGTTTTAAATGCAGTATGATGTCTGATGTTTTTATTTCATAGTTTCGTGTGCATGTATCACTGTTTCATTGATTATGGACTAAATGACTGAGAACCCGATGTTGTGTGTTGTCTTGTTGGCATGAACTACTGGTTTGCATGTTTGTGTGTGACTTGATGATGGTGACTAAGAAAAAGGATAAAGGTTATGTGAATTGACAAACG